GTCGAACTTTGCCTTCGGCTGTGCACTGCTTCAAACAGACGCCGAAAGGCGAGATCGGGTGATCGTGTTCGTGTCTCCCCAGCTCAAGACTGCAGAGAAGAACTACCCAGTCCACGACATGAAATTACTTGCAATGAAGTATGCACTTGTCAAGCTCAGGTGCACCTGCTTGACTCAAAGCCGTTTGTGATCTACACAGATCATGCGTCATTACGCTCTGCGACTCTGTCGTCTCATCTCTCGCAGAGGATGGTCAGGTGGCTCTCCTTTCTAACAGAATATAACTCGAGGTGAGGTATACGCCAGGAAAGCAGAATGCTTTGGGTGATGCGTTGTCACACAGACCGGACTATGAGCTTGCTAATATCACGACGGTGTCGTCGTCAGTGACGGGTTTGATCCGCGCCACATACGCGGGTGATGAGATGTGTGTAGCACTGCTACTGGCTCTAGGGGCAAGGATTCTGGAAACTCGGACAATAAATTGTCGGCGCGTTTGCGCGCACGGTTATGCTGATATTCGTTGAGTATGGGTCGCTGTATGATAGCACCGATTAAACGGATACGCCACGAATTGTGGTTCCTCACGATGAGGATTTGAAGTACCGTATCCTTTATGAGGCCCACGACACCCCACTCAGTGGTCATCTTGATCGTGAGAAGACGGACAGCTCGGTGAGTTACCACTACTGGTGGTCCAAGCCGTACAAATGGACGAGCACATATGTGCGCACGTGTGAGACATGTCAGAGGGTGATAATCTTTATGATTGTGCTTGACAGTTCACCGATATCCTCCGGGTGTTGGCAGTCCATGAGTATGGACTTTGTGTTTGGCCTGCCGATGGACTTGGCGGGCAAGACGATGTGGTGGTCTTCGTGGACCGTTTGGGCAAGATGGCTCGTCTTGCGGCAGTGCCGGACACCATCGACGGTGTGGGTACAGCGACGCTATTTGTCGGTCGTGTCTTTCGACAACATGGACTCGCGGAGTCAATTGTCTCTGATAAAGACTCGCGTTTCACTGGATGATTTGGTCTACAAATATCAGAGGCTGGGCACCAAGTTGACAATGTCGACAACGGACCATCCGCAGACCGATAACCAGACTGAGCGCGTGAGAAGCGTCGTTAAAGCCGTTCTTTGCAGCGTCTGCGCTAAGTCGCCGAAGCGCTGGAGCGCCATGCTGCCACTCGTAGCGTTAGCTCGAAATAGTGTACGGCATTCATCTACCGGCTACACGCTGTTCTAAGTGAACGTGCTTGTTAATCCTCGCGTCCCGCTGACGCCGCTATCCCATGGCACAGGGCTTGGTGAGGGAAAACTAGGCGAGCAACCAGCTGATGTCAGCCCCTTCACTGTTCGTAAAGAAGTCAATAACCTTCTAGGCTGGTCTTGACGACCAGACTGAGTGTCCTACGACACTTCGCAATGCGACGGCTGAAAGCCAAGACATACAGAGAGAATATGCAGATGGAAGAAGCAGAAGGTAGAGAGATTGGAGGTCAGAGACCTGGTTTTATTAAATGTTAAAATCCTTCAAATACATGCCCTCTCTGCTGATTTTAAGACAAAGCTCCGTCCACGGTTTATTGGACCTTTCAAAGTCGTGGCCAAGTGAGGCCTAGCGTATACGCTGAACCTTCCGAGAAGGATGCGCACTCACCCGGAGATTTATGTGGGCTAGCTAAAGCCGTCCTGGGGTCCGGTCTAAGTAAATGCGGAAGCGTTGGCGCTTGGGCGGCGCCCTAAAGGCGTTCGGCTACCCAGAAGCTGAATCAGCAACTGGTTTCGAGCGCGGTGTGCAGCATTCTCTGTCTCCAGCGACGCAAGGCGCTCCATCGTCGCAAGAAGTGACGTATTCGTCTGCTTGACGACTAAAAGGCGCTCTGATAGAGCGCGATAATTATCAACGCGAGGCAGTCGGTGCACAATGTGCTTAAAGCTCTCGATGTCTTTCGCACAGTGGTATGCGACCCAGCATGATGCTCAGCCGAGCCCCGATTGAGACGGATTTTGTCCTTAAGAGTTCGAAGGGTATCGCGAGTCACAGGTCGGCGATCGACCAAGTCGTCATCACCCTCCGCCGAAGCTTCTCGAATGAGATGGTGGTTTCCACCGCCACGTGGATCGCCTTGTGGGTCGACGTCGTCAACAGGGTATGACCCGAAATCTTGTGAAGTGGCGGCAATACCCAAAATTCGAGAACTCTTAGCGGTTTGAGATGCCACTTCGGCAAGACTGCCCAGACGTCATGTAAGTCGTAGACGCTTATGATCAGAAGAATCATGACGCTTCGCGTCGTCGTGCGCCCCGCGCTTCTCAGCAGTAGTCCGGGGGGCCGGAGGGCCATAAGCCGAGCTCAAGCTATGGCCCTGAACTGCTACAAGTAGACTAACCCGTGTGAGAAACCACTGAGCTCGCGGGAGCATTATGGGGTATTCCATGTATCGCAGGGCGACAATACGCAGAAAGTCGGCGTTGGGTCTTGAAATTTGGCAAACTAAAATCAAAGATGGCGCTCTTCGCGCACGTCCACTTCCGTGTGGCTTCGCTGTAAAATGGACGGTGAGGAAATATTTTGGTGCCTCTGCACCTACGCTCAAACAGCTTCTCATCGTCTGTAGCGGTTTTGCTAGGGCGAGCACCACAGGAATAGTCCGTATTGCGAGTACCGGAGCGCCTCCTTTTTGGGCTCGAAGTCGAGCGCAGTATCGATCCATTGGGATTTTTTGTGGTACCAAAATGCAAACTCGGAGAGCTTCCCGCGGATCATACTCGGCTTGTGTAGTGGCCGGGGACCCGACTACGCAGACGCCTAACGATCGAATGATCGCGTGTTTTACTTCAGTAGCGGGATTCGGCGAGCAGCAGCCGTACTCCACACGAGGATCTATGACCAAACGTGGATACGAGCGCATGAGAGCTACCCCTGTGGGCAGCAATAAATTGCTGCTCCTGTGCCTCGTCGAAGCGATCGGTAATAATACCACTTCCACCGGAAGCTGAAAGTTTGTGGAGCGGGCACGGTATCCGCACGGTTCGAGCTGGGATTACGTCGCGCCATTGGCGCACTTCAACCTCCTCGTCTTCCCATGCTGGGAAAGGATTATCCGACTCGTAGTCGACTTTCTTCGACCCATCGACGAGGATATCCGTCACCCAAGGCGGACGCGGTGTGCTGCGCTCGTTTGCCGAGGGCTTGAACTGTGCTTCCCGTGAAACCGCGGTACTGTCCAGAGTTGCACCCTGTGTAGAAGAAGAAGGGTCTACCCGCAGGCGTCGTCGGAACCAGCTAGTCTGGGTGTTTTGCATATCGTAGACACAAGGCTCATAGAGCGGAGAATGTTAGAGTTGTTCTTAAAAACGTGACGGCGTCTCAGACACGCGAGCCTCTTATGAGGCGACAGTTAAATGTGAACTGTGAATATTCACAATTTTAATGAGAAGAGTGTAGCGGAGTTAGATATGGAAGGGCGGGTCGCACAAGATGGTGTGACCGTACATAGGAGTGGATTACACAAGTTGGTGTAGTCACTCAATGGTGTGGCTACACTGTAACAAGAAGCCACCACGTGGCAGGAATGCTAGTAGTAATGCATATGACTATATTAATTACGAAATGACTATTTATATATACTAGGGTTCTAGATATCGACGGCTCTGCCGCAACTAAAACAATTAAATACAGTTTTGATTTTAAGCAGAAGTGTTTGTTTGCCTTGGTAAGGCTTTACTATTTAGAAGTAGCGGATTACGATCCGCTACACTTGTGCTGGTTCTTGGGAAGAATGTAAGGTCGGTGACCTTAGCTTAGCTTCCTCTTAGCAAAGAGCTACGGCACCCCCGCTGCAGTCTTCGCTGAATTTGAGCACCAAAATTCATAGGGTGTCATTTAGGCGCCAACCAAGGTCATCAAGCGCCAAGTAGATTTTTTCAACTTGAAAGGCAAATTATCGATAGTTTCGTCTCACGACTAATCTAAATTTCAATCTTCAGAATGAACATCCTTGTGGTGCAAACTGTGAAGCAAACAGCCACGTGTCCCACGGACCTCTGCCTTAAGAAGCCCTTACACTTCACCACAACAAGTGAACTCTACCACAGAAATTTATCTATAAGCGTCTGTTCATGCGCAGTGTCTTTAAAAGACAAAGTATGAGCCTCTATGTGGTCTCGTCTTGCGGGGGGCGCAAAAAGGTGAAGTTGTAATCTTGTTTGTATAACCGATGCACATTTGGTACAATGGTACTGATTACAGTACGGTACAGCTGTATGTATTTCGCACGGCACTTATCTGAAATTGTGAGTATTCATGACTTAGCTTTTCATCTTATTGGCTGTGAGACAAATCTGCACAGAAAACAGCTCGAGAGAATTTGTATTGGTTTGGTATTCTCAGAGTTTGATTATTTAGTTTTGTCTACTACCCAGCTTGTAACGAGGTCACGCGTACCCTGGTAACAGGGGGGGTGTCACACGAGATGGGAATGGAGTGACTGCACCCAAACAAGAATACGGTATGAGGCTAGGTAGCCAGTAGTAGTTTGCATGTATTTAGATTTTACTATATATATTTAGGAAAATCTATGCATTTAAAATCAGGCGGCTTTGCCGCAGATAAAAATAATTTAAAAAAATTAGACGGAAGGGTTAATTAGCCTTGGGTTAAGGCAATACTTACTCTTGGAGTAAGCGGATTGCGATCTGCTAAGTCGGACTTGTTCTAAGTGTAGAACGAAAGGTCGGTGACCTAAACTACGCTTCCTCTCAGCGCGACGCTACGGCAGCCTCGCTGCACTTGGTAGCACTTGTACTCAAGCTACACATGAGTCGTTTAGACTGATCCTCTGTGAGGATGATACAATTTTCTTCTTTGCCCCAGGGCATTCAGGACGGGCTTAACA